AGTAATATGTATCGACAATCACATTGGCATGTCATTGGTGATACCCCAGCCCTACTTCTAAGAGTTGAAAAACTAAATGCAATTTGATCAATATGACAGAAAAAGTTTAAAAGGTGAGTTAAAAAAAAACTATGTACCATTAAAAAAGAACAGTTCACTAATTAAATGGATCCAACCAGACAAAGAAATATTGATAACTAATAAGATACTTACGTCTGTAAAATCTCTCATCAAAATCTTGAATTTTCTTATAATGTCTGCACAAATTTTTAAGAAAAAAAATGTTTTTTGAACAAAAATCCTCATTTGATTTTACTGACTTAACATGAAACGTATGATTTTCTGTAAACTAAAGTAATACGTGCTTTCTGAGATTTGGGTTGTGTGCTTGTTACACTTTTACACAGTTTGTTTTTACATGGAAGAATGCAGAAGTGAACACAAGGATACGGGACCACACGACATCCAGGTATCCGGCTGTTGATAAAATCAGCCGCAACATACGCCTTTGGTCGTCCTACATCTTTGGACCTGGTGAAAAGTATTCAAAAATTCAAATAGTCATTTCTTGTAACATGAAGTAGCAGGTAACATGGTTGTAAAGACACTGACCTGAAGAGGAACTGACGATTCAGGTTGGAAACATCAATGGTGTCCATGTCGACCACACTGATGTTCCGAAAGCCAGATAAAGCCTGAGCGTAGCAGAAAAACAMATGTAGACCACATTTCAATAGTTATCAGTGTTTAATCAACAACAACAAAAAAAATTTAAATTTGAAATGTACCAGGTCCTTCAGCAGCTCACAGCCCAGTCCACCTGCACCAATGACCAGGATTTTGCAGGTTTCAAACAAAAACTCCAAACACTGTAATAAAAGTTTACAGAAAAGAAGAAAAATGAAAAACTAGCACAGATGGTAAAACTGACAGCTCAGATTAACCTGCTACCTCTGGGCTGGGCTCGAAGTCTGGATGTGTAAACGGTCCCGACCGCTCCAGGAACTTTTTAACGTGGTTCCATCGGCCTTCCCACTCACAGGTCCCTCCGTCCACCGCCATCCTGATGACGACATGAGGATGTAGTTATAATTKTTATGGCACAAAGAAACATTCAGTGTTCTCAAGGATCGTGAGTGTGAAAGAAAAGGTTTATAAAGATCATGCTCTGACACTTAAACATGCTGAAAACAAACCTACTTGCTGCCTGTCCTGTATCAGTTACATAATTTCCAGTCGGACAGGTACTGACCCTCTTTTTCCTTAGCTMCTATTGGTTCAACAAGATTATTAGCCTTTCATAAATATCTACTTCAAAAGATAACWTATTAAACCTCCGACGGAAAGCATATACACTGTTAGTTACTGACAGCTGACTGACCTAGATATTACTCATTTAACTAGCGACTCGAATCATTTGTTTACAACCAGTTTAGATTTCTTTTGAGTGTCAACCTACTTCCTGTCTAAAAACATCAAACCTTCCGTCAGTTCTAATTCATTACTAATTTCTCAACTCAGCTCCACTACTCTCCTTCTTTTCTTCTCCCTATAAAATAGAGAGTAAAATAAGGTTCAATCATGCCGTGCTCCCTTAGATTCATGAGATTTGACAGCATCTTTCTRGGTTTCTTGTTTGATTCCTTAGCGGTGACTTACGGCTCATCCATCTCCGCCATGTTTGAGTTTCTTCAAATGTCCGAGCTGACGGTAGGAAATATAAGATTCACATTACAAACAAATGATTATTGCAGTAAATGTATAAATTTAAACTCTTTTTGAATAAATATAAAAATAAATGTTGACAATTTTAACGTTTKCCAAGTACAGATATGAAATTCAACGTTCGTGCTTGCGTAATGAATGGCGTGAAGTTCAATATTCCCATAACCCTAAAAGCAGCATCGGCATTCAAATSCTGTAATTACACTATAATTCCTGCAGATGTCAGCATTTCCACCTTGTGTTAAAGGAGGTTCTAAGTCTGTGCCCTGTCTCTGTCGCAAAGTTTTTTTTGAAATGTATTAAAGGCTCATCTTCTCGAGTATAGCAGCTTTGCGTTTTGCTCATTTTCACAACAACAAAACATTAACTATGAAAAAGCTGTCATGATGAACGGTGGTGAAAGATCATGAGTATTATGGGTTCTAAACCATAGCTGAGTTCTTTTGTTGAGGGTTGGAGGCCTTACATGTTCAGTTTTTCTAAACTATTTCAGTGTAAGTTGTTTGTCATTTATTTATTTATTTATTTATTTATTTATTTATTTATTTATTTATTTATTGTAAAGATATGGATGTTTCAGCAGCTGCACAGTGGAACAGTTTGTTGTTGCCCACATTCTCCCCATGCATGCATGTTTTTTCTATAAGTGCTGCAGTTTTCCTACAAAAGTCCAAAAATGTGTGTGTTAGATTAGGTGAGATTTGAAATGATCTCTAGTTGTGAGTGTGCAAAATGATTGTCTCTAGGTGGCCCTGTGATGGACTGGTGACCTGACCAGGATGCACCCTGCCTATCATCTGACTGAGACGTGTAGATATCAGGTRATCGCTACTCTGAAAGGATCAGGTAGGTACAACGTTGATGGACTGATCTGATCCTCCACTTTGTTTGTTTTTTATTTGTCAATATGATCTGCAAATAATGTCCCTGGTCCAGACTGTGTGCATATACTGAAGTGTTTTATGTTTGTTATAACCTTTACTAAACAGAAGAAAGAAAACATAAAAAACATGAAACTTAACCCCCAAGATTAATCCAACCTGAAAAGACTCACACGAAGACGAAATGCGAAATTAGAATAGATTTAGTTTAGACTTTATAAATTCAAAAGAATAAACAAAGTTAGACACAAAAGAAAAAAAGTAAATTTAAAACAAAAATCAAACAAAAGAAAAATCAATTTAAAACATTAAGCAAACATAAAACAAAGCTTTATTGCTATGATTGAACCGATTGGTATGAATGACAGGTTTGGTGCTCGGACCCCAGACAAGAACGTGAGCGCTGTGAGAGGTTGAAAGCTCRGACGAGCTGAGGAGTTTTTCTTCTCTCCTGGAGCCCGTTTACTGGTGGTGGATGAAGGAGAGGGAAACACCTGGAAGGTAGGAGATGAAGGATGGAGGAGGGGATGTGGTAGGTTGACATTCAACAGGCGAGCAGCCGGAGCAATTGAAGACGCTTTTATCTCAGACTGCTGGATCTTGATTGGATGAGGCTGAGCGTGCAGTGACAGAGCTGAATGAGCCAGGTGAGGGTCAATGGTCTTCCAGAGTTGAATTTACATCTAAAACTCCATAACCAAGCAGAATCTGATCACTCACTGTTTTCTGCTTCTTGGAAGATGATCTTGGTAATTTATTTACCGTTATTTAACCAGGCAAGTCCCATTGAGATCTCAGATCTCTTTTTTCAAGGGCGGCCTGGGCCTGAAGGCGACCTGTTGTACATGTTTTGGAGGGTGGCGGAAACCAGAGTACCCGGAGAAAACCTTTGCAAGCATGAGGAGAACAGGCAAACTCCGCACAGAAAGACCCCAGGTCCGAGCTGGGGATCGAACCCAATGATGGTAATGGTAAATCAATGGTCCTAATTATTAAATATAAATTTAATTTTAGTGGGTTTTTTAATTATACAGAACCATTTGCATTGTATTTTGCTTTTTTCTTTTCTTTCACCCATTCATACAAACACTCAAAGAGCACATTTGACTTTTTTACTCATAATGTGCCGTGCTTTTTGTCATACAGAAATGAACATGCAGAGCTTGGGGCTTAGCATCTTGGCTATGGTCACTTCAACATGTGAAAGGGCTGGAAATCTAACTGCAGACTGGAAAATGGCCTAGCTGTATGCATTCACTCACAGGTACACAAACCCAGCTACCGCAGCATGTCGTAGGTCCCGCTCCTTCTCTGACTGACAAAACAAAATTATCCCATTAGCACATAAGCTTTGTGTTCATAAAATGAGACTTTCAGAGGAAAGACGCACATCCGTAACATCTGGAACACTCAGTCATGTCACTTTGCTGCATGCTGCATGGGGTGCATCAAATCTGTTCATATCACGACACTGAAATCTGAAGCTCATCACATCATCCTGGAGCCAGACAGCATGAAAATGAGCCATAAACAAATAAATGTTTGTAAGTGTGGTCTGTTTTAACTAAACTCTTCAGACTTCTGATCTAAATATGTATTTTAAAAATTATTTTATTAAGAATGAATACATACAACCTGAGCAGCTGACTCAGAAAGAATATGAATATGTTCCATAATAACCTTTATTTTAAATCTGTTTACATTAATATGTTGTTTATTTTTCTTTTTAATTATTTTTTAATTGGATTTTTAGGAAAATTCGTATTTTTGATGCCTGTTGACATTTTACCAGTCTCTTGCAGCCACAAAAATATGTGTATTTGTAACAGAAGTCAGTCAGTTCAAAGTTAAAAGATTATATAATTTATTAGTTTAGCAATTTTATCCTCTCGAATTTACTAATTTAACCTAACCCTGGTGAAAAAAAAAACTGTCAATTAAAGTTTCATTTGAATTTAATAAACCGGTTGTAAAAAAATTACGATTGTTTTTATTGTCTTGTGTTCCAGTTCAATAAGATTATCCTCTTGTTATTTATGAAGCATTTTATCCTTCTGCCTTTATTATATCATGATCATTGCTACTGTTGCTTTAAATTACAGACATAATTTAATTTTGTGTAATTTCATATAAATCAGATAAAAATTTAGATTCTGTTTTTGTGTTTGTTGTTTTAACATTAAAGACGTCTCCCCTGAGTAGCTTGTTTGATTCACGGTGTCCACATTGTGTTAATGAATCTGTTTTTAATCTCCCATTATAAAATGATTAATAAACCTGGGGCGGTCCTCCCTGCATTTAAAAGAGGTGCTTATGGGCACAGGAATATAATTAATCTGTCTTTCCACACCTCCTTTTTAAAATGAAAGGAAACGTGGAGTTCTGCTGCAGAGGACGCCAAAAACGTGCTAATGTATGCGCTGATAGCTGATAGCCTTGTGAGCTTTGATCGTTTGACATTGGAAAGAAAACGGTGCGTTCTTGTAGACTCCAGTGCTTACTCTAGTTTCTTTCAGTTCATGTGGTTTCTCTGATTTTTAATGAGATGTTCCAAGTCATGGCGTCCGAAAACTGATAACTAAAAATAACTCTGGAGTCCTCCGTCCTTCATAGATGACTGCCTGCCGTCTCCGCTTCTAATTTGTGCTGTCTGTCTTGTCCTACTCGTCCTCAGTCACATAAATAGATGGATCAAAAAGAAAATTATATTAAAACAAATTAAGCAAACCTGGAATTTGAAAATTCAAATAATTTTTTTACAATGTAGGACACTGAAGAGGGCTAGAAGTCAAAATATTTCTGTGCTGACATATTTTTTATATAAATTCAGCTGAAATGTCATCTGTCATTCCCTTATCTGAAGCTGAAACATTCTGAATGTCCCCACTGTGACATTAAGGTGACCCACCTCTCTGTCATCCATCACAGCCAAACAACTGAGGAAAAATCAAAGGCCTCAAATCCAAAACAGAACATTTCTAGGTCAAAGCAAGCTATCAAGAGAATAGCATCCCAGATAGTGAAAGGGTCAAAATAAGCCTGAAAGCAGCTGTTTGTACTCAAGCTTTGGAGAAAGGGGAATATCCCCCCCCCCCCCTTTTTTTTTTTTTTTTTTTTGCATTGGCATGCAGAATCAGAGTTTGCCAGCTTTACGGCTCCATATGTCATAATCTCCATTTGCCTTTTGATGGTTTTCTGTCAGGGCTTTAAAGTGGTGTTGATTGCGCTAATGATAATGTGTCACAGCAATATGGTTCATGTTTGGCACGGAGCAGTGCTGCCAGCCAGAAGACAAGGAGAAGCTACAGGCCGATGTTGTGTTGTGCTGTTGGAAGTGATTGATGACTCTCTCTGTTGTAGTGCTTTGATTAAGACTCTGGTGATTTATCACCACTGCTCACAATGTAATTAGACTCTATATATACACTCAACAATACAGTGTTGTCTTATTACACGGAGCCAGCAAAGTGTTTTTCTTTAAGTGTGTGTGTGTGTGTGTGTGTGTGTGTGTGTGTGTGTGTGTGTACAACTTTTTTGTAAACACCTATGCATCACATTAGACTGAGGTTCACTTAAGTTTTTCCAAAGGCTGAAATGCAACCAGCAATTATGTGCTTATAATTATTATCAACTATTTATTATGCAATTAATGTTTTTACGCTCCACTGAAGGTGCAATAGTTTCACTTTAATATAAACATGACCATTTCTGACTGTTTTTATTTCTTTCTTTCTTTCAAATGCTTCCTTCTTCAGATGACAGCACTTGCATCAAAGTCTTGGTAATTGTTTCACACCAGTTGCCCTCCCTGACATAACCTGAGCTTATGTGCCCCATTGAGAGCTTCATTGATGTATTAATGTCCTGAAATAAGTTGCTTTAAAGCCAGGAATGACCGTAAACTACTTCTCCCATAAAGCATGTTGATTATTTTACCTGCAAAATGTCAGCRTCCCACCACTAGTTAGAAGTGCACAAGGTTTAAAAGTTGGGAGCCCGCGAA